TCAGGGGTGCCACTAACTCTGGGCGATCTGGTGAGTCGTTTATCCATCAGTCAAATGCATCCTGGGCACACTGTCTGTCCAGGTTCAATCAAATGATGGGTCGGTGAAACGGTCTGGCACAATCATGCTTTTTCCAAGGAGTTGTGCATAGCGAACAATTCAACAGACAAAATGTTCTTTTTTTTTTCTTTTCTTTTCTTTTCTGTAAGTTTTCTTGCTTTTCCTTTGCTACTTCTCAGTCAAAAATATGCTTTTTCAACGGAGTCGTGTATAGCGAACAATTCAATACACAAACTTCACAAAGTCATTCTTTTCTACAAGTTCTCTTGCTTTTCCTTTGGTAGTTCCCAGTCGAAAGTATTTCCTTTATGTTGTCCGTTTTATGCGCTCTCTGGTCTTTTCCAGTGCTTCCCCTTGGTCTAAGCCAGCACCCCTAAGACAAGCCAAATAGTCAGTGCCTTCTGTCGTCGACTCGCTGGATCCAAGGGTGGTGTGAACCTACCGTCTGTTGAGTCCTACTTGTGGTGTGAGTAGGTGCTGACCTGCTTTTGCCAGTGCTGCATTTGGTGGACTGCCTTGTCCATGCCGCTCTGCTGCCTGGCCGCCCATTCGCTTGCCGTGTCTTCTCATGCTGCTTCCGGTTTGTCTTGTAGTTTAACTGCTTGCTGCCTTGCTGCCTTGCCGCCTTGCTGCCTTCCTGCCTCGGTGTCTAATTGCGCTGCTGTCTTGTTGCTTTACTGCCTTGTTGCCTGCTGTTCGTCGTGCCGCCCTGCTGTTTGTCGTTTGGCTGCCTTGTGTCTCTTTCTACTGTGGCCTTGCCACCTTGCCACCTTGCTGCCTTGCTGCCTCAGTGCCTAATTGCGTTGCTCTCTTGTCGCTTTATTGCCTTGTTGCCTGCTGTTCGTTGTGCCTCCCTGCTACTCGTTGTTTGGCTGCCTTGTGCCTCTTTCCAGTGCTGCCAAGCTGTTGCATTCCCGGACTGCCGGGTTACCTCACTTCCTTGTTAACTAACTGCCTTGCCGCCTTGTTTGCCTCACTGTGAGCATTCACCACCGACAAGGGCGCCTTCGGCACCGGCGAATATGCAATCACGGGATCGGCCTCCCTTGATAATGATAATGAGAAGGTCGACAGAGCCGCCGTAGTAGGGGAACTGAAGGGCGGCAGTCACGAATCGATGGCAGAGGGCGCGGCCTCTCCACAACCGGATTTCTGGAAGTGCCGGCCGTGCTGCCGCGTTGCCCGCTGTTCATCGAGGTTGCACCGCTGCTTGCATCGTTGTTTGGCTGCCTTGTGGGTACTGCCATGTGCCTCCCTGCCTCCCTGCCTTGTTGCCTCACTGCTTTGCGGACTTGTTGCCTCACTGCGCTGTTGCCTTCCTGGCCTGTTGCCCACTGCTCCTCAGGTCACATTGACGCTCGCCTTTTGTCGTTTGGCTGCCTTGTTGCTTGCTGCTCATTGCGTCACCCTGCGGCTTGCCTTGTTGCCTCACCGACTTATTGCTCACGCTGCCTTACCGGGCCTCGTCATTGCTCGTCCATGCTGTCTTGCTGAGTTGTTGGTTGCCTTCCTGCCTTGTTGCCTGCTGCTCATATGTGCCACAGTGCTGCATCCCCATATTGTTGTTTGGCTGGCTGACTGCCTCCCCAGTGCGGCCTCCAGTCTATGTACCTTGCCGTTGCTTGTCGTCCAGCGCCTTGGTCCGTTGCACTCACCGTTCTGCTTGCGATGTCTCCTGCTGAACGTCCACTTACACAACAGTGGTTTAAGGACATCATGACTCGACACATCATATCGGGATTCCACATGTCCACGGGATTCCGCATGTCCAGGGTTCAGTCTCCCGACGACTCATTACCATCCCGGTATTCGTTCTGTCCACTGACAATTCCAATTTCAACAGATGTCTACAGGCCTTTGTGCATGGTTTTCTCCCCTTGATAAGTAAAAAAATAAAAAATAAAAAATTGGACCTTTTTCTCGATTTACGTGTGTCATCCTTGCGCAGGGCCGTTCCAATTTTGACGGATGTTCCGAAGGACAGCATGGTTTTATCCTAAGAGGTCACCGTTTGGAGATTTGTTGTGCTGAAGCTATCGGTAATCAGTGTAATGTGTTTTCACACACATCATCACACACACACACACACACACACACACACACACACACACACACACACACACACACGTGGGGGGGGACACACAATCATTTGATGTACGTCTGTTTTTCTGAGTGATTTCTGATTGTCTAAGGGAGCACCTCTACGTAGTGCCAAACAGTCGGTGCTTTCCTCGTTCGGAGTGCCTGCAGCATTACTGGGGTAGCCGTTCTGTTCGGGATGTCTGCAGCACTACTGGGGGAGCCGTTCTGTTCGGTGCTTTCCTCTACGTAGTGCCAAACAGTCGGTGCTTTCCTCGTTCGGAGTGCCTGCACCTCTGGTCCTCTACGTAGTGCCAAACAGTCTATGGGTGAAGAAGGAGGTTTCGTCGAAGCGGCTACCCGGCTAAGTAGAAGGTGGAAACCAACTGTCTGCGGTGTTCACTCGTGGTGTGAGTAGGTGATATACTCCTTCGCTTCGAGGTGGACGTGTGGACTGCCTTGTCTATGCTCCGCCGCTACCTTGCTGCCCATCCCGCTTGCTTCTCATGCCCTTCTTCGCAGCTGGTGTGTTTGTTGCGTCGTGTGGCTGCTTCGTTGATGCTGCCTTGTGCTTTGTTGCCTTGCTTCCCTTCCGCATGGCTCGTCTTTCCGTGTGTTTTGCTTGTGTTTAGTTTGGCCGCTTTGTTGGTATTGTCTCGTGCTTTGCTGTGCTTTGCTGTGCTTTGCTGTGCTGTTGCTGTGCTGCCCATGCACTTGCGCTGTTGCTCCACGAAGTTAGCTTTGACACTGCAATAGGGTTGCCCCGGTAGGGTTGCCCCGGTAGCGCTGCCTGGTGCTTTGCGAAGTCATTGCCGTCCTTCCATGTTCTGCTGGCAGTCTCGTTTGTGGGCTGTACACTTTCAACAAGGGTCCACGGGTTCATGACCCAACGCACAAATTTGTGATCCTGCAGATTGTCGAGGGTTCGCGCTCCTGACGAGTTGGTGCAAGCCCGACGAGACAATCTTTCATCATCAGTTTTATATCATTCTTTTGGCTCTTCGTTTTTTTTTTTTTCCCTGTCATACTTTTACTTTCTTGTTTTCTCTTTTTTGCCTCGCTGATCTTGCCTTCCTTTTGCCTGGTTCGCTACCTTTTCCTTACGTGTCTCATGTTCGTTGTCTGCCCACCTGCCTCCCCCATGCGCTCCAGCCTATGTGTTGCTCATAGTTTTCTTTCACACAGCCCGGCGACCGCTCCCTCTTTACGGCTACAATGCACTCACGAACGCCTCGGCAGGGCCACATAACACCTCCCGACGTTCCCCATTGTCGACGGTCTTCGCCATTCCTGCGAGTCATCTCATGGTGTGCCAACTTCCGCATCGGTGCCTTACCTGGCAATAGCGTTCGTGCCATAGCACATGTATATGCACAAATCCTTTCTCACACACACACAAACATGCATTCCCTCTCACCGACACAATCTCCCTCCCTCTCTCTCTCTCTCTCTCTCTCACACACACACACACACACACACACACACACACACACACACACATTCACACTCACCAAGAGCGTCTCTCTCTCTCTTTCTCTCTCTCTCTCTCTCTCTCTCTCTCTCTCTCTCTCTCTCTCTCTCTCTCTCTCTCACACACACACACACACACACACGCGCGCGCGCGCACATACACACACACACGCGCGCGCGCGCACATACACACACACACACACACAAACACACATTCATTCACACTCACCGAGAGCGTCTCTCTCTCTCTCTCTCACACACACACACACACACACAAACACACATTCACAGTCACCGAGAGCGTCTCTCTCTCTCTCTCTCTCTCACACACACACACAA